AATTCCGCCACGCGGCCGACGTGCCGCGGGGCGGGCGCCGCGAGGCCGCGCGCGGGGATTAGGGTCACGCGCCGCACGCGGGGCTCCGCAGCGAGGGGCCTCCCCGCGCCGAGCGGGCGCTCTCGGGCTCGTTTACAGGAAAGGCGCAGGATGCTAACAGACCGTCTCGATACGAGAAGAGGCGCAGAGGAACGGCAGCTGAAGGAATGAGTCACCAGTACCCAATTCCCCTTACGTTTTACACGTTTATTTGCTTAGCAGTGTGCTCTCACCCTGAGAAGCGCTCAGACTCCTTGAGATACGCACAGAATCTAATTTTAAAACCAACAGACTAGCTTGAAATGCACAATATGCCTGTCTGCACCCGACAGAATAATCTTTTTTTTTGTCAACACCACTCCCCAAGACTGAACTTTGTTTCCCCCCGCCGTCCTGCAATACAGTCTTTAGCCCTGTAAAGCAACGCGTCGCTTGGGGAAAGTCCTCCTCATTAGCTGCCCTATTAAGCAACAGCCACCTGCTACTTCTGTAATTGGGAACAGCTTTCTAGAAAAAAAAAAAAAATCACAATCCTAAAAGCGCATTCTCAAACTTTTAGTCGACCTGTTCATGTAATCAAAACAACAATTCTCCAATTTAAGAAACAGGGAAGTAGTTTCGGGGGTGGCCTAGAGGAGCCCACCTCACTCCTCCCGCCCCTCAAGACTACGAACGCACCGAATGGCCACGGGCCAGAGACCCGGCCAGTGCTGGGCATTGCAAGGACTGAGCGGGGTCAAGCTCGGCACAGACACCTCGCTAGAAACAAGAGCTTCCTTCCTAGTGGCCTCGCAAGGCACTTTGCTTTGAAGTTGTGGTAATCAGATGCCTTGCCCTAATGGGGAATTTATTACAATGCCTAAGAGAGTGAAGAACAAGTGACTTTTTTTAAATAGTGGAGATCACCAAGGTGCGGGTACTTTAAGTGGACTTGAAGGATCAAATAGTAGAACCAAATAAAAAGATATATTTATACACACACAGAGACTCTCACAGTACAGTAGATCTGTAGGCGTGTAGATTTACTCTCTTGTAGATCTCAGTGCAGATGTGAGGGTTTAATGACACAGGTTGAAGCAATCTTTTTCAAGACTGACTAGTACACCTGGAAACAGCTGACAACTTTAAGGCACAAAGACCTCTTCAGATCTGAAATTAAGCAGCAGGCACTCCAAATTCTGCTGGAAACAAATAAAGGCTACATGAAAGGAGCCTTTTATGATCTAGGCAGCTTGTAGCAGACTTGAACAAGCACTGAAGCACCTCAAGAATTAACAGCAAGTTAGAAGACAAAAGGTCACCAATAACCGGAATGAGAGAACTGACTGCTAACTGGAAAACACGTTTTCATGTGACTACTGCAGTAGTCACAGAGCCACGTGTAGCAGATGTCCCAGGGAAAGCACTTAACAAGAAACACAACCAAAGGAATGCCACAGAACCGCACCTCCTTCCAAGCCTGGGGTTTTAGCTAACTTTATACAGTGATCATATTATCAATCTGTCCATGTGTCTTTCAGCTCTCTGATTCATTCTCTTAAATTAAAAAAAAAAAGCACACCCCCTTGGCTCTCAATAATAATCCATAAGCATTTGAAAGAGGAGAGAGTGTCTTCTCTCAAATAAAAGGCCTTAAATACCCAATACTAGATCATAAGCATTGGGCCAAACACTAGTACTTAAGAGGTAACTGAACAGGAAGGAAACAGCCATGGTTTTCCTCTTTTTTTCCTCCTGTTTATTGTGATACATGGCTGGAAAGCAACAGCAAAAAGACCAGCAAGCCAAAAGGCAGTACCTGATGAGCACATGGTAAAAATTTAAACAAGCATCACACTCTCTGACAGCAGTTTGAACTATGAGAAATCACAAGCTGTACACATGAAACAATAGAGAGAAAAAAGGCAATGTTTGGGAGATGGGGGTTGTCTGCCCTTCAGCAACAGGAATTTGGATCTGCTACCAGGAAGTTACAGCACGTTCTCAACCTAAGGTTTTAGGATTTCAAAAGCAAGAGATATATAGAGAGAAATACCTGCTGGTATTTCTGACTAGCTTGGGGGAGCGTGGGGAGAAAGGAGGAAGTCACATTAAGCAATTTGGCCTTGTTTGCCAAACGAGGAGTTTTCAAACGGGTCCCAGCAGACTCTACAGTCACAGAAGACCAAACAGGGCCACCACGAGGGGGTTCTCTCAAGACCCTGAAGCAGTGCACATAACTGCGGTCCCGGATGCTACAGGGACGGGAGAAGGGCAGGATAGGCTGCAGGAAGCCATAAGCACATCCGCAGCCCTAAGCACACCTGGAGTCCTTCCAGCTCTTCCAACCTCCATGCAAGGTGGCAAGGAGCTACTGCAGCTGCACAACGCACCCCTGAACAGTAGTGCACGTTATTCTACAAAACAGCTCTTTAAAAAAAATATATATATATCACGGCACACCGTCACTTATTTCATTCACTAGATGCCATTTCCTCAGCAATGGACCCTGGACCCAAGTTTCTTGGGAGATGGCACTACTTGGAAGAGCACAGCAGCCAGCAGTGACCTACATCACGCCCCTCTCCTCCACCTTTCTTCTCGTGCTCTCTGTCCTGCCCTACTTTACCGGGATTACTTTGGCTAAACCATATAATAGTTTTACAGAAGGACTTGGGTACGACTGAAAACTTGCCGTGCCTGATACTGGAAGCGAAGCCAGCAGCAGAAACAGCAGTTTCCCTGGCCAGCATCGGCTGCGAGCGGAGCCACGCGACGCCCTACACACGGCTCCGGCATTTCTGATCCGCCTCACGCAACCATGACGAGAAATGAAACCATGGCAGGGACTAGCAATAACGGTCTGTTGCCACCCGTAATAGCCAGCACACAATGAAAATTTTTCACAGCCATTGCTTCTAGATGAAAAGCCAGGAATGAGGGCAGCAGTTTTAGCCCAAGTAGGAAAGGAGCTCTTCCACCCACGGCAGAAATATCGTTTCACAATTTCTCTTTTACACTGCATCTACCTATAAGGAAAGCGATCCAGCTGCGTAATTTTTGCTTCATGCTAGCGAGGCTTTTTCTCCCCCTTCCTCTCCGAGTCAAGCCAGTTATCTATCAGGTCAGACGGGAGGAATGGCAGGTCCCGGGGGATTTGCTGGGATTCTGGCTATTCATAGCTCGCCGCCTCTCCAGGCATTTTCAACGCTCATTGTGCCGTGCCACCCCCACCACGGCTCAGAAAGCAAACAAGAAAAGGATGCACACACGCGCACAAGCCTACTACGAGGCTACAACAGAGCGAGCAGGAGCCGCCTACGAGCCCGCAGGAGCCCCAAAACAAGCCGGTTTCAACCGACTGGGACTGCCATCCGCGGGGAGGGGAAGCGGACTTGGGGTCGAGGCCAGGCTTTTGGGGAGAAGACCTTGCACTTGATGCATTCACATCTCCTTACTCAAACAGGTACCCAAAAGCCAGGCAGCGAGTCCCCATGAGTGGGAGTGCAGAGTTACCGTGAATATTCAGCACAGGACAGGACAAAAGAAAACCTCTGTGAGCCCCCACTCATGTTTTAATGCTCTAAGGATTCTCCACCGCTGCATTTGCTGAAAGCGCCATGGCTCACGGATCCACGCCACGAGCTGGTTTCCTCTGGGAAGCCCTGGCAAGGCTTAGCTGGAATACTACAGCATACCCCTTTCATAAAAAAAATAAAAAATGAAATAAAAAAGATGGTCTCCTCACAAATATGAACGAGGATTTTCTAGAAATACTGCATAATGAGTCATCGACTGCAGGCAGGCTAAAACGCAAGACACCTCCTGAGCGAGCACAAAAATAACAGCAAGGGCAAAAAATAGCAATTCGCTCCAGAAAGGGAAGAAAAAAAAAATAGGCGAAGCACTCACAGGATTCATTCTCAAAACTTTGCACTCCTCTAACTTCCCTCCAAGCTCCAGCATAACCTTCCCACCACAGCGAATGGCAAGAGAGACATATTCACCAACAAAAACAAATAGAGAGATGAAACTTCACTGACACCGGCGAGCAGGGGTAGGAAATGGGGCGGGGGGGGACAGGCATTTTCCCTGATTTTTCCCCCTTTGTTCTCCATCTCTCCCCCCCACCCCGCCCCCTGGCAGCGGGATGAAGCACGGGGACAGCAGGGAAGGGGCGGAGGCCGCCGCGCTCCGGCTCACCCATCTCCAGCGCCTCGTTGTACTTGTCCAGCGCGGCCGCC